AAAAATTAAAAAATATACACAATGAGACCATTTACTTTTGAGTCAAGGAGGTCACAATCATTATTAACCATTAGATGTGAAATCAAGTAAATAAGGATGAGACATTGATTAAGCACAAAGCTCCAAATAAAATTTTTAAAATGTTGTGAGTCTTGTTACACACTTTAATAAGTAGGATTTCACATCTAATAGCTCAATGACCTCTTTGCACTAAAAATAAATGGTCTTATAGTATACAATTTCAAAATAATTTGGTTGATTTGGAATAGAACAAGAAATATGTTAAGGAAGTTTCAAGTCGAGCTCATGATGATTTCACTATTTGGGAAGTTTTCATGATTTCACTATTTTGGAAGTTTTCATGTTCTAGGATCAACTTGAAATAATAAATTTTAATGAACAAGAACATTTTGGGCTTGGAACTTCCTTTTTTCTTTTTTTTTCTTTTTTGATAATGTTAGGAACTTCTATTGATGGTGGGCTGAAACCGCATAAGATTACAATGCATAAATTAGAACATCAAAAATAGACAAAGCGGGAAGGGAGATGTCGTCTTTAGCGCAGCTCCATTGGGCTAGTGGTAAACGTGGGAGAAAGAGAGTTGTAAACCCAGAGTAGAGCAAAGATCTATGATTTTCAACTCGAAACCATGAAGAGTCCATGAAATTCTTTGCTCCTGCTTACACCAGTTAATGATATTGAGTGAATTTCCTTCAAAAGAACAGATCTCATAATTTCAGTGGTTTAAAAAACGAATCGGTGGCCTGGATCGGGAACCTCAAAAACTCATCCGGATCGGTAGATCGGCAATCCGGATCTGGAATCGGCCGAATCGATCGGATTAAGCTTTAAAAAAAATCTAAGACAATTATTAAAATTCATTATAAATGTTATTTTTTAGGAATCAATAAGAAAGCGAGGTACTACATTATTAATTTTCATTTTTTTCATCAATATGTGAATATTGAGATATTTTTTCTCTACATGAACTTATTTTAACCATTAAAATACAGCACACAAAATAAAAATCATGGAACTATCATGGATAAAGTATATAATCATACATGGACAACAATAAAGAATGGTTTTTTAATAAGAACAGTTTAGTTTTTTTGAAAAAAACCTTTTTATTTTTTTACAAAAAGTGTTTGTCGTATTACATATTTTTTTGTGTTTAGCAAAAACCTTTTTTTGGACAAAAAATATTTGTTGTATTATTTTTTTTTATAAAAAAATTTTTTTTTACAATAAATTTTTATTACTTTTTATTTTTTTGACAAAAACCTTTTATTTTTTTGACTAAAAAACAAAAATTGACAAGAAAAATAATTGATAAGAACCTTTCATTTTTTTTAATAAGAAACTTTTTATTTTATAGATAAGAAAAAAAATTGACAAAAAGCAAAAATTGATTAAAAAAAAAAAAAAACCTTTCATATTTTTTATAAGAAAAAAATTTGACAAAAAGTGAAATTGATAAAAAAAAACCTTTCATTTTTCTCTTATGACAAAAAATACTTGTTGTATTATTATTTTTTTATAAGAACTTTTTTTTTTTTACAATAACTTTGTATTACTTTTTTTTTTTTGACAAAAACCTTTTATTTTTTTGACATAAACATTTTATTTTTTGATAAAAAAAAAAGAAATTTGACAAGAAAAATAATTGATAAGAACCTTTCATTTTTTTTTTATAAGAAACCTTTTATTTTTTTTGATAAGAAAAAAATTTCGACAAAAAAGAGAACTTTTTTTTTTTTTTGACAATAACTTTTTATTTTTTTTGACAAAAAAAAAGAAATTTGATAAGAAAAATAAATGATAAGAACCTTTTATTTTATTTTTTATAGGAACCTTTTTATTTTATTGATAAGAAAAAAATTTGACAAAAACCGAAATTGATAAAAAAAAAACTTCCATTTTTTTGATAAGAAAAAAATTTGACAAAAAACGAAATTGATAAAAAAAACCTTTCATTCTTTTTATAAGAAAAAAATTTGACGTCAAAAAATTTGACAAAAAACGAAATTGATAAAAAAAACCTTTTATTCTTTTTATAAGAAAAAAATTTGACGTCAAAAAATTTGACAAAAAACGAAATTGATAAAAAAAAACCTTTCATTCTTTTTATAAGAAAAAAATTTGACGTCAAAAAAATAAATTTGATAAGAAAAATAATTGATAAGAGAACCTTTCTTCCCAAGGGGATTCAAACCTATGCCTCCACACTCAAAACGCACTTGATAACTAGTAAGTCACATGCCACTTAATAATATTAAAAGAGCAAACAAAATATATAATATATTAATGTTTCAAGTTAATACCTTCACATTATCCCATATCGAAGAAGTAAAAAGAAGCTATAGTGAATAAATACCTCTTTGTACCCAATGAGGGTAACGCGCGTGAAGTGAGGAGTCACATGGCGAGGTGTGCGCTTCTTAAGTTTCTGTAATTTTTAAAATTTACAAAAATGCCTATTGAAGAATCGGCGGGCCATGACATCATGAATCGAAGAATCGGGAGATTCATGATGTCACATGGCGATTCATGATGTCACTCCGCCGACACTCCGCCGACTTTTGAATTACTGCATAATTCTTACCAACAATAAGATTCTTCCTAACAATAAGTTCCGACGACTTTTGAATCAGTGCATAATTCTCTTACTAACAATAAGTGCCAATTCTAACAATAAGTTCCGGAAGTTCCAATTCTAACAATAAGTTCCGGTTCGACTCCACCGACTTTTGAATCACTGCATAATTCTCTTACTAACAATAAGTTCCAAGAAATAAGTTCCAATTCTAACAATAAGTTCGGAAGTTCCAATTCTAACAATAAGTTCCGGTTCAACTCCGCCGACTTTTGAATCACGGCATAATTCTCTTACTAACAATAAGTTCCAAGAAATAAGTTCCAATTCTAACAATAAGTTCGGAAGTTCCAATTCTAACAATAAGTTCGGAAGTTCCAATTCTAACAATAAGTTCCGGTTCGACTCCGCCGACTTTTGAACCATGCATAATTCTCTTACTAACAATAAGTTCCAATTCTTGGAAGAGGGAGCAGATTTCAGTCTCTTACTAACGATAAGTTCCAATCCTTGGAAGAGGGAGCAGATTTCAGCTTGGTTGGCTAAGGTGTGTCCAGAACTGGCCCCAAGTCTCTTAAGTTCCGATCCTTGGAAGAGGGAGCAGATTTCAGCTTGGTTGGCTATGGTGTGACCACAAGGACCCGCATAAAAAACAAAATAACTCACCCCTCATGGTTCCTAAGCAATCCTCCTATTTCAGCTGGATTCGGATTTCCAAAAGAGCTACCATAAAATTTGAGTTTGAGAAAGCCTACCTGGGGAGATTTCCAAACGGATTGCCAAAGGAGCTACCATAAAATTTGAGTTTGAGAAAGCCTACCAGGGAGATTTCCAAACAAACAAAGTGAGGATGACATATTGGTATAAAAGAGAAAACTAAATTCATAAAGTTAACAAAAATGTCAGTCCAAGAAACTTCTCGCCCCTCATTGGTGGAAGAGAACAATCCCAGAGAGCCTGAAGGATACGATCTATAATACATTCAATGTTAAGAAAGACCCATCAAAATTGGACTCCAACCAAATCTACCAAATGATAGCACTTATAAATATTTTCCAAATTAAAACTCCTTTGGAGGGCATGTTTGCAATGGTGAGATGGTGAACAACGTCGATTAAATTCTCTGGTAGCAAAAGAAGTAAACCCAATAACCAGAAAGCCCAAAGCCAAATACTAGCTGCAAAAGGATAGTGCAGAAATAAGTGGTTACCGGATTCCTCATCATTCTTCCACATTAAACAAATACTATGTAAAATTTTACCCATCAAAGATTATGAATCGTGAGGCATTTACCTTGTTTATGTCATCTGTTTAGATCACTATGTTTGGCACAATTAGCGAGATACTTGTTCGAGATTCCAAAATCAAAACAAGAATATATTTAGCAATTCCAACAAAAATTGAAAGAGGTACTTAAATGAAATAATCTTCTTAAACAATATTATCAAGAAACTAGTCAATTTGACCACATAAGTGATTTTTTTTTTCCTTTCAGGTGTAGTTTGATAAGGCGTCAACCTCAGACAATTCCAATAAGGCGCACCTCTAAATAATGATAAAAGAGTTTTGGTGTCAAAAAACTTTACGATTGTCCGGAAAATTGTTTTCATATTTAATCGTGAAATTCGAAGCTCTAAATACAGTGCAAATCGAGTGCATCCATAAACACTTAAAAAAACTAAAAAATAGATAGTCTAGATAGTACAAATCGAGTACATCCATAAACACTTAAAAAAAGTAGAAAATAGATAGTCTAGATAATACACTACAAGTTGTATTATTTTTAACGTTTGAAATTAATTTTTTTTATATCCAAAGGTCTAGACGATGAATTTGAGCATTTATAGAGAAATAATAAGAGGGAATATTCGTCCTTTTTGCCACTTTACTTTTCTTAGAAATAAATATAGTTGTACAGAGCACGGTCCAGCTCAATATCACTGGTGTTTTCAGGTGCCCTGAGGGGGCGTTTGATACCTGTGAATATCTGGGAAAGTTCCCGATTTTCTCATATACTATAGCTTTTTTTAGTTTGAAAATAGTAAAAAAAAAAATAAAGTAGAAAGTTGGAACCGCCATATTTTCTGAAACACTGTTTAGGTAGGAAAGTTTGTGGGACATGGCGATGCACCTCAAAATCTTATTAAAAGAAGAATTTTTAGTGTCAAAATTTTTATTATAAACTAAAAAATCTATTTTTCATTCCTATAATAAAATTGAAAGCCAATAATAATGCAAATGTAGTATATCTATGAGCACTTGAAAAATCTAAAAAATAGACGGTCTAAAAAAATGTGCTACAATATATACTTTTTTTTCTTGATAAAGATGATAAATTGGATAATTTTAAACAACCTTTTTCTATGGCCTTTTGGGGTGCACCTTATAAGGTTGTTACCCCATACAAACTTTTTCCAAAACTCATGACGGCAAAAGCTCTTCAACGCAAAATCCTGGTTCGCTCACCACTCTGAAAGAAAAAAACTCAGCCATCCATCTCTCTCTAACCCTTTCTCAATTCTCACTCAAAACCCTAACAACTCAATCATCCATTGTCACTCGCCCGCCCCCCAACAAAGCTCAACCCTCCAGCAACTCATACCCTCCTCGCCTCAGGTCTATTCCCCTCGTCCCCCCCATTGCTACAAGCTAAGAGCTCAGAGAAAGCTACAGTGAGTCCTTTTTAAATTTTTTATTTTTAGAGCATAAAAAGATAATCCCAGATCTAAATAAGATTTTATTTCTAATTTAGGTTCTTTTTTCTTTTCTGATTAACCTCAAACAAGATTAACCCCAAGTCTACATAGAACTTTCTTATTTGATTGAAATTTATGGAAGAATATCCTTTGCAGAATAATATATTCTTGGGTTTTTCCGGTTACTTTTGACAAGGTCTGGGGTTTATTTTTGCTATGCCGTTGTTGAAATGACATTATCTCTCACTGGGTAATAGAAAGCCGTGAAATTGAAATTTTTAACTCTGTTTACTTCATTATGTATGTGACAAGATCTTTCTTGATTCAATTGGGATGTTTGTCATATAATTCAGTTTGGAAGTTGTAAGTTTGAAGTATTTTACCTTCTTTGGTTTGTTTTAGTTTAGTTTCTGTTTTAGATGTTGTCGCATGTTGATTTCTCATTTTTTGGTTTTGAAATTTGCTCTTTATTAATACATATTCTGCAGTGCACACAATGCTGTTTTATACTTGTATATCAAGCATGCGGAGTTTTGAGATTAGTATGTTTAGCTGTACGATTTATTGATGTTGTTCTTGTAGTAAAATCATTTGTGATACTTCTCTAATGTTAGCTCTCTCGGTTATTTTTCTTTCTTTGTAATATTCATAGGCAATTTAGTTCTTTTAGTCTCTATATTCTTTTTCATGTCTCTTGCTCGTTGATTTCTCATAACATAAAAATTGCAAGAGTATGGTGATTGGGAACTTACTTTAGTTTTACTTGGCTTAAGAATTCTGTGTGATTAACTCCACCTCTCTGGTTCCTTATACTTGTTGCAATTTATTGAGGCTTGTTGCAATTTATTGAGGCTATTTCTTAAGTTACATAGATGTGAGATTAAATTTCAATCTTAACCATACATTGTAAAAAATGCATTAGATTGGTAGTAGCAAGAAAATCTTATTCAAAAATATACTTTACACGCATCTAATCATAGAAATTCATGATGAACTGTTAAAACAGGCTATTTCGTGCTTTTCCAGCATCAACATTACCAAACAGGCGAAAATAGCAGCACCACAGTTTATCAAATAGGGATCCCCACTTTCAAGCTACCAATTCTCACTCTCTCCCAAATTCCAGGAAAGTCAGCAGCAGGGAGAATCACAGGGAAACTGCAGAGAAAATTATTAAACACACCCTAATGAAGAGAATGGAGGGCGCCTTCGACCATGGCTCCTCCGAAATTAGGGTTAGTGTTTCAGAGGTTCCAGCTGTTGTAGAGAACCCACCTCAGCAAAAGCACGAAACCTTAGATGAAATGCTTGCTAGACACAGGTATGCTTTACAGAGACTTGTTCTCTCTTTTTCTTCCCTTCTCTTGTTCGTTTTACAATTTAAGTTCGTTGAATCCATTTGTTATGATATTTAGGCCAAATATATCTTGAGCATAAGGGTTTTATGTGAATCAGTGGCCTTCTTTTGAAGCAAAATGGCTCCTGATATGATTGAACTGAAAATGTTGATAATATTAGTGTTTTATTTATTGAATTTAGCAATGAGATGTGATATTTGTTCATAGTTAGAGCATCTGAATATTACTCTCCATTGAGGCAAGGAAATCAATTCTGGGTTATGGGAATAAGATTTTATTTTTTCCTTCTTGCATGTTGGTATTGGTCAATATTAGTTTTTTTTTTCTTCCACTAAAATTTAGTAATTTCTGGTATTTGGTGTCTTGAAGCAATTGTCTATCATCTATGATCATCATTAAAGATTTACATAAGCTTAATTTATCAAACATAATGGATCCAAAAAAGGAAAATGTGATTGGCATATGCTTTTCTTAAACCTGTATTTACAAGCAGCTTGTTATGCATGGCATAATCCTTCTGGTTAAGGCAAAAAGAAACTCTTCTATGAGTTTGCTGCTTTGATGTCACTACTCTTGGGATTTGATTTACCGGCACTTATGAATGAGTAGCTGATTGCCTTCATCCTTCCACGAACTTTAGTTTCTCTTCCTTTCAATTTATCAGGACTCAGCAAATTTTTCCCTTGGTTGCTTATTGTGACTTTCACAATCTTAATAATGTCTTAATATCATATTTTGAACTTTAGAGTCTCACTTCAATTGCCTTTGGGTTTGTTGAATTATATTTGAGAATGTTTTATTAATCACTGGATGCAAATGTAGAAGCTCATATTGGTAATAGTTGCTCACCATAAGAAATATTGGTATCAGTGTTTCAAAAAGCGCTAGGCGGCACCCAGGTGGCCAAGGGGGTCCAGGCTGCCTAGCACCTAGGTGAGCGTCCAGAATCTGGGCGGCCCATTAAAAAAAAATTGATGAAAAAACTGATGAGTGATGACTGATAATGATTAATCTATAAGAATTTTGATAATCCATAAGACCATAATCCATAAGAATTTGATAATCCACACGACCATAATCCCAGTTAAAAAAAAAAGATAGAAGTCGAGAAGAGAATTTTAATAATCCATAAGACCATAATCCATATTTTCATACGATGCTAAAACAGTAAAACCATACAAGCATACATTGATAGTCTGATACACTGTAGACAGTACACACAAAAGTTAGATAGTAGAACTAGAAACTAGAGAGTAGAACTAGAAACTAAAAAGAAAAATAAAATATTCAGAAATTCAAAAAATATCCAGTCTAAGACACAATAGTCAACACTCAACAATCAACACAAAATTCAACAGTCAACAATCAACACTCGACACCAAGAGTTTCAGTCATTATCATCATCATTATCATCAAAAGGAATAGGGTAAGCTTCATCATATGCATCAGAATCGAGGCCATCATCATCAAAGTCATCTCCCTCTTCAATATAACGCTCGTCCTCCTCTGTTTCTTCTTAATCTGCCTCTTTTTCGTCCTCTTCTTCTACCTCCCTCTTACTAGCATGTGCAGATGAGGCTCTAGGAGTCTTGACTACTCTACACTTTTCTATCTTTTTGTGCTTACCTGAACTCAAATATTATATAATTTCCTCCATGGTAGTCTCGGGAGCATTTTTACACAGGGCAACTTCCCCCTTAATACCGGCAAGGTATTTTTTAAACCGGTATATGCCCCCATTAGTATCCTTTCTACAATAATTACATTTAATACGATTTTTTCCATTCGGATTCGGGTTATAACCATACTTCCAACCCAGATCACCACTGCTAGAAGAACCTGGAGAAGATATTTCCACAGAACAATGCTCATTTTCATCATTTTATGGTTCTTTTAAATTTAGAAGTTGTCTAATCTCATTCCGAATCGCTTCAGGAACCTTTTTACAAAAAACAACATTCCCTTTAATACCAGCAAGATGTTTCTTGAATCGGTTAATACCTTTATTGGTATCTTTTTCAAAAAAATTACTCCTTATATAATTTTTATCATTTGGTTTTGGGTTATAACCATACTTTCAGCCTGGATCACTTCTTCTAGAAGTAGCAAAAATAGACCTATTCAAATGACAAAGATTTTGTTCTTGTTTTTGTTTTACAGAGCTCATATATTGCTTAATCTCCTCTCTGATAGCTTCAGGAACATTTTTACAAGGGGCAACATCCCCCTTAATACCACCAAGGTGTTTTTTAAACCGGTTTATGCCCCCTTTCATATCTTTTTCACAAAAATTGCATATAATGCAATTTTTGTTATTTGGATTCTTATTATATCCATATTCCAACCCGGATCTCCACTTCGACTAGATCCTAAAGAAGACATCTCAAAATAAAACAAGCAATCTAAAAAAGAAAGTTTTGCACTTACTTTGATTACTCGAACTCCAAACTCTCACCTTTGAGATGTTTTTTAGAGCTAAAATAATAAAGAACACCCTCTAATAGGATTATAAAACTCAAAAACTAAATGAAATCTACTTGGGTGATGCCTGGATCCGTTTTTCGTAACTTTGAGAAACACTTCGATCAAATGAAAGTCACAAAATTTAGTTTTTTGAGGTTTCTTTCTTTCTAAAATGGGTTCTTATGGGTTTAGGTTTGAAATAAACCTCAAACTCATCCTTCAAATTTCAAATTCTTTATATTTAAAAAAAAAACAATACAATGAAAAAAAAGGACACAAAATCCTAGGCGACCGCCCAGGGACTGCCACCCAGTTTGACTGCCTAGGCCTGGGTGCGCCCAGGCCTTCTGGACCGCCTAGGCGGCCGTCTAGGTGGGCGGTCCACTTTTTGTAACACTGATTGGTATAGTTCCAATCTTTCTATATTCTATTCAAAATATTGGAGATAGAAACTTTGGGAATCCCTCCATGAAAAAAATTTCAGAGAACAACTAAGTTAGATAACCATGAGATGAGATGCTATGGGGTCCATCATCATCCGCGATTTCTTTGCTCTGCTTGTTTGGTAGAAATCTCATTTAGCATATGACCAACTGCTATAGCACTCTTAGGCCATTTTATGGCATTCAATCCATTGCCTTGGATGCCAAATGTGAATAAATCTGCTAACTCAAGTTTCTCATCCAAAGAAGACCTGAAAGAAAGATGTTACCTTGCACTAACTCGTCAAAGTTTAAGTTTGAGCCTTTCAACCAGGGAATCCTGTTCATACTGCAGGAAATTGTTAGATTTAGATACATAAGCTCCATTATTCTTTGTCTTTCTTCTATAATTCTATTCGCGAGTAAAGGATGTTTAATGTGTTTTTTAGACATTCTCTGTACTAGGGGTGTGGCAGACTGGATGCCTTTGTTACATGCGTGAAAACAAATCACACATGTGGGAGTTTTATTTAACTTTTCTCTCTTTTATTTTAGGCCATTGGATTGCATCTAATCCTATGGTTGTGGTGTTGTAGGAACTTTACTCTTTTAAAGAGATGAAAACCCTTTTGTTTAGAGAGAAAAAGAGTGAGAGAAGAAGATAGAGAGATTGGGCTGCAATTGGGTTTTCTCTTGAGAGTTTGGTATGCTCTGTTTTAGAGAGAGAAAGTGAGCAAAAGGCTTGAACTTCATTGTGGGTTTGCTGTGTGCCCTGTTTTAGTGAGAGAAAGTGTTAAAGAGAATCCATTTTTGGGTGTTCTTGGTGCCTTGTTTTTTGGCCCTGTTTAGAGTGAGAAAGGGCTGCTGGAAATTGATATTTTGAGCTCGATTTCACTTTGTAATCTTCCCAAATCAGTAAGTAAAGTCTCACACCCTTCTCCCGTGGATGTAGGTCACGATTTGTGACCGAACCACGTTAAATTTTTGTGCTCTGCAGACTGAATGTTGCTGTATTTTTCATTCCATGTTCTTGCTTTGATATTGTATAGTTTTCATTGCTTGTTTATATTGATATGAATGCACAATAGTTGTGAATGTTATAAACCCTCGCTGATTTTTCACCAATCGACCCCAATAGCCTTTAACATGTAACTCAGGTCTTCTCACAATTATTTTTGTGAGTGGAAATAAATCACAAATGTTGATTCTTGAGATTGAAAACCAGAATGAAGCCTCCAGGAGGAAAGTTTTGCAGCTCAATTACATTAAGGAACATTGAGCTTTCAATGAGGTTCCCAATAAAAAAGAAGTTTTTAAGAGATTTGCTCTTCACTGCCTAATACTTCTGTTAAAAATTTGATGGATTTTTTCTCTGCCTTGACATGTCTCAGTGGTTTTGACAAAGATTATGTTGTGTTGTTGTGTAAATTACTGGAACTTAATGTTGAATGGGGGGTTTATATCTACTGACCCAATAAGACAATGGTTTTCTTGTTAAAATAAAACAATGATTGTGTTGTTGTGTAAATTACTGGAACTTAATGTTGAATGGGGGGTTTATATCTACCGACCCAATCAGACAATGATGAAGGTTTTCTTATTAAAATAAAACAATGATGACTGTATCTACTCGAGGAAAATGATGATGGTTGTATTTAGAAATACATGAGATCTGGTTTTGGTGATCATCATGTTACATTTGAAATGAAGATGTTGACACAAAATGATTACTGAGTGTTTGGCCTTCGATAATTCAGGTTCATGTATTTGAACGATATTAGAGTGAGATGTTAAAATCATGGAAAAGGTGAGAAAAGGAATGTAATGTGGTGGTAGAGTAAGGGCTGTCGGGATTAGTAAATATTTTTACTTTGGAAATGGTCTGGAGGATGAGAACTACAATGAAGCATCTGCTATTTTGGGGAGCCAGGAATTTTTTCTTTCTTTTTTCCATTTCTTGATTAAGTTTAGGGCAGGAGAAAATCAACATGTAGAAGGACTCTCGGTTGACGTGCTCCAGAAGAAAGAATTTCTAATAGATCTGTCTCTGATGAAAGCTTAATCTTATTTAGAATATTTATGTAGGTGGAACATATTAATTATCATAACGAACAGTGGCTGGAGTACTGTTTGGTGCTAATGTAATATCAAAAGTGATTATGTTTTTCTTTTTTAACCTGAGGTTACTACTCTTAAGATGTTAATTGACCTAGTCGAGATGTTATCAAAGACAATATTACCCCTTTTGATTTTTAACAAAACGATGAGGTTCAGGTGCCCACCCAAAACTTTTCTTTTCTAGAGAAACCCAAAACTTTTCTTTTCTAGAGAACAATAAAAAGAAAAAACTGTTCTTTTTCTGGAGTCTCAGTGCTTGATTAGACATGTAGAAAGCATGGGAGAAACAGTGATTCCCTTCTTTTTTGTTTTTAATGAGGTTGTGATTTAATGCTATCTCAATTCACGCTTGCAAGTTAGTGCACCATCATGACATGATTTGCGCTCTACACGCACCATGGCTTGTTCATTTCCAAAATCATGTTCTGCAAGACATTACAAATAGTTGATCTCTCTCTCTCTCTCTCTCTCTCTCTCACTCACTCAGGAAAGAGATCGCTGAGGTTCAGAACAAGGAGACTAGTTTGAGGAAGGCAGCTGCTAAAGGAAGCAAGGCTGATCAAAAGGCCAAGAATAAGCAAGTGGAAGAGGAAATCTCAGGGCTTTCTTCTAAACTAAAAGAAAGGCAAGCCGGCGAGCTTGCCTCTATGGGATATCGAAGCAACAACAAGGAGGCCGGAAACCTAGACAACTTGGTCATGGCCATAGCTGGGGTCTCAGTGAGCAACAATGGCACCGACTCTGCTAAATCCAGAAAGGGTGCAAAGAGGAGGCGAAGCAGAAGGGAACAGCAAGAAGTAGAGAGAGAACAAAGAATACAAGAAGAACAGAGCAACATGATCAGCGATAGAATGATAGAGAATGAGAAGCTCGAGAAGAAACTCGAACCGCTCGGGCTTACAATAAATGAGATCAAACCTGATGGTCACTGTCTCTATCGAGCAGTCGAGGACCAACTCTCTCTCTCCGCAGGCAACAATTACAATTACCAAGATCTTAGAGAGATGGCAGCCAATTATATGAGAGAGAATGCATCCAATTTCCTCCCCTTCTTTCTCTCTGATTGTAAACTTGAGGTTAGTTCTGAGGATTCACCATTGGAGAGGTTTGAGAGGTATTGCAAAGAAGTCGAATCAACAGCAGCTTGGGGTGGGCAATTGGAACTTGGGGCTCTCACCCATTGCTTGAAGAAACACATTGTGATATATTCAGGGTCATTTCCTGATGTTGAAATGGGAAAAGAATACAAATCAGAGGCTAGTGGCTCATGTAACCCTAGTATTATGTTGTCTTATCACAGGCATGCCTTCGGGCTAGGTGAGCACTATAATTCGGTGGTTCCCTGCGAGAATTGCTAGGTCGAAGTTTAATGGGAGGGGTTATTTTGGTGGTTTTGGTTTGGACAAAAGGAAGGGGAATATCAATGCTATTTATATTTGTAGACTTTTATAATGTAGTCATGTGGCAGTATGAATATATATCATCACAGTTTTGTTCTATTAGATTTATTATACAAATAATATCATAGGGGGATTGTAAACTATACTTTTACTATTCATTTTTTGTACAAGGAAGTTACAATCACTCTTAATCAATCTGACGGCTTATAAATTTCATAGTTCATTATCAAAAAACAAAGGGTCATATAATTCAAAAAATATTATTTTGATCTTTGTGCCCAGTCAAGAGCATATACCCTCAGCCAAGATCGTGACTTAAAGTAGAGGGCAATGTATATATTTCCCATCATGTGTTAGATGTACGTCAGGGGGGAATGTATTTTTTGATAGATTCGATTGTTGTTTTTTGGTACGAGATTTGTCACGATTAATCCGGATGGTTTAATGAAGCAAAAAGTTCATTTACTAATGGTCTGCTTTTGTTGTTACTGCATGATAAGAAGAAAAATTGTTGAGGAAATAAACATTAAACATTGAAATTTTGGATGTGAAATTTGGTGAAGAAAAAATTGTTGAGGAAATAAACATTAAACATTGAAATTTTGGATGTGAAATTAAGTGGCTGCAATTATTCTATTGACCGAGCTCAAACTTCAGAAGAAATTTTTTCAGATTTGTGACACTTTCAAGATATCAAATTTTGCATTGGATGATTGTAAGTAATTGTGATCATTTTGTATCAAAAGTAAATGATCTCATTGTATACAATCTCAAAAATTAATACATAAATGTATTATGACTCAGTTTAGGTCCAATGGGACCTAAGAAGTTACTTCTCAAAAAGAGAGAGAGAGAATGGCCACGAATTCTACATTCATTTGAACAGTACATATGACTGGCGATTTTCAATAGGTATCGCAAGTGCCAACTGAAATTCAGGGTTTTATAATTCTTATTTAGAAATTGCACTCATATTTTCTTATGTGAAAGCTTTCTATGTTTCCCTATAACATAGAAGTTCCATTCTACCCCTACCATCCAGCTCTTCATTTTTTATCAAAAGAAACACTCACTGTTTGATCTTAGATCTGAAGCCTCAAAGTATTTTTTTTTTAGTTTTTTTTAATACAAATTTTTTGAATATGAAATTTGGTACGTGTCGTCTCCTCATTAGGGTGCACCTGTAAAAAACAAAATACCCCGTGAAACTTTCAGGGGTATTTTGGTTATTTTATTTTATTGAAAATATTTTTTTTATATTTTTCTTTAGTGCAAGTTTAATAGAGAAATGGACTTCCAAAATTTTGTGTCAAAATAGTTTATAAAAAAAAAAAAATAGTATATAGACGTGACATTGTGATTGAGGCAATCTTAACCCTCCATTAAAAAATGAAGGGTTGGGACAATCTTAGCCCTCCATTCAAAAATGAAGGGTTGGATAAAGGGAAGGATAGAACTTCCATGTTGTAAGAGGAACATAGAAAGCTTTCTCTTTTTCTTATTGGGCAAGTTTCTTTTGAAGTTTTTTAAAAACCGATTAATTTCCACTCTTACAAATTCAAGTGAGTTTCTAAAAGGCAGTATCTCTCTTTTTGTAGCGTGTCTAGATGCATCTATTATAATTTACTGGTCTTCATCTCAACCACCATCATGAATCATAAAAAAAAAATAAACTAAAATAAAATAAAAAGAGAGCTTTAAAAAATGTTCTATCTTATACTTTGGACCATGAATTTTATGTTTTTTCAAATATCGCATCTTCTGTTCTTCAAAGATCACTTCTAGAGGGTTTTTGGAGTCGTTCATTTCAGTTCTTTCAAGATCCCCATCTTGATGAGGAAACGGATTAATGTGCTTTAAGGGCACCGGGGTGAGTCGACCAAAAACTATTTGGGGCTCACCAGTAATCATGGCAATTGCAAGAGCCATCCTTGAACAAATGAAACCGACTCCGATCCCTTACCAAAACCTCCCTCTCATACACACTTGACACAAGCTTCATCACAGTGTGGCAATCTCCACAAACCCTCAAATTCTTGACAATTCTTAAAATCCCTTTCCTTTCTCCCATTCTCGACAACCCAAATGCTAAGGCGAGCTTCTCGCTATGCTTAGAAAGTGCCTCCTCTTTCTCTTCCCCGTCTATATCATGCAACACATTGACAATCTCAGCAACGTAGCCCTTGCCCCTAAGCCTCGACATGATCTCCCCTAACTTCAAGTGAGCTTCCTTTGCAACACCACTTAGCTCATCGCGCACCGTAAAACCATACACCACCTTATCAACCTCAATGGCGCTCCATCCCGGAGTTTTCCTGATCCTCTGCTGGTTCATGGACCTCCTCAGAGAGGCCACATCTTTCCAATGACCTCCCATTGCGTAAATGTTCGATAAGAGTACATAGTCCCCCGGGTACTGCGGCTCCATCTCTAAGAGATGCTCCCTGACACGCACCGCGATTTCAATGTCATTATGGATGCTACATGCTCCGAGTAATGAGCGCCATACGACCGCATTGGGCTCTATAGGCATCGAAACAATGAATTTGTATGCTTGTTTTAAGAGGCCCGCACGGCCATAGAGATCAACAATGCAACCATAGTGCTCCATCGTTGGTACGAGTCTGTAGTTATCCATCATCTTGAAATATTCAAGACCAGTTTGTACCATCCCTGCGTGGCTACAAGCATATAGAATCACGATGAAGGTGACTTCGTCTGGGCTTGTCCCAGATGCTTCCATGTCATGGAAGAGACTGATGGCATCAATGCCATGACCGTGCATAGCAAGAGAGGCCATCATCGCAGTCCAGGTAACCAGGCTTTTTTCACTCATCAGGTTAAATACCATCCTGGCATCATCCATGCTTCCACATTTGGCATACATATCCAAAAGTGCATTGTTTACAGAGACTATATGATCAAACCCAGCTTTATTGACAAACCCATGTATCACCCTTCCATACTCTACCGCCCCCAATTGAGCACAAGCTGAGAGAGCCCCAGTTAAGCTCACCTCATTAGGTCTCAAACCAAAGGCCTGCAACTTAGAGAACAACAATAAGGCTTCGTGGCACCATGCATTCTGAGAATAACCTGCAATCATGGTGTTCCAAGAGACCAGATCTCTCTCGTTCATTTCATTGAACACTTTTTCAGCCTCAATAATATCACCAAGCTTCATGTAACCAGCAATCATGGTGTTCCATGATGTCAAGTTTTGCCATGGCATTCTCTCGAAAAGCTCTTTTGCACCTTTCACATCTCTACACTTGAAACATGCACCCAAAACTGCATTCCAAGAGACAACATTTGGCCATGGCATCTCATTGAAGACTTGGCGCGCAGGGGTGGCATTACCCAATGATGCATACATGCTCACCAGGGTGGTCTGAACATAGAGGTGACTATCAAACCCATGCTTAATAGCATGGGTGTGAAGTTGAGCACCTGGGTGGCGTGTGGATTGTTCATGGGGGTGGAGTTTTGTACAAGGGTTGCGCAAGGGTTGAAGGCCTGCACAAGCCTTAAAGATGAAGGCAAATGTGAAGTTATCTGGTTTGATGCCATCTTCTATCATGGAGTAATAGGTTTTAATGGAGTCATGGGGATTATTATCAGCTTGTCCTCTAATAAGAGTATTCCACATAAATGGATCAGGAGAAGGGATTTGAGCAAAGAGGAGCTGAGCATAATCAATGGCGTCCGGTATTGAGGTAGCCGCAAAAAGGAGTAGCTTTCCGAGTATGAGAGGATCGTACATGAAACCAGTTTTGATGGTGTGCGCGTGGATTCTTTTGAGGTCTTTGAGAGTTTTGCAGTCTCTGAACATGGAGTTCATGCTGCTCTGCGACATCTCCAACTACTCAAATAACGGTATTTTCATGAATGACTTCTAAGACATTCAACTTGAAGGCCAAAGCACTGGACTAAAGATGGAAGATACCCCAGATTTCATCTTAGGGTTAGGGGGAGGATATGACCCTCCTTCAATTTAATGGTAAACAATGTCATTTGATAGTTTCAAAAGATACCAATCTGCAGATGCATCTCCATTTCATAGTTTCAAAAGATACCAATTTGCAGATTCATCTAAAGATAAGAGAGCGTACAAGATAGAAGTTCTATGTTCTCCTACAACATAGAAGTTCTATGTTCCCCTACCATCCAGCCGTCCATTTTTTATCAAGAGAGCCACTCACCATTTGATCTTAGATCTGACATTTTAAAGTGTTTTATTTTTAGATTTTTTTAATACAATTTTTTTAATATAAAATTTAGTATGTGTCATCTTTTCATTAGGGCGCACCTATAAAAAATATTAACAATAATTTTGTGATAAAAAATAATGAACAAAATACCTTTTAAAACTTTCAGGGGTATTTTGATCATATTATTTTATTGAAAATATTTTTTTTATATTTTTTCGCTAGTACGAGTTTAATATAGGAATGGACTTCCAAAATTTGGTGTCAAAAAAGTTTATAGAAAACAATTAAAAATAAAACAGTAGAGACATGACATTGTGATTGGGGCAATTTTAGCCCTCCATTCAAAAATAGACGGTTGGATAAGAAAGAACATAGAACTTTTATGTGGTAGGAGGACATAAAAAGCTTTCCCTTAAAAATAATCCCTTAAATAAAAAGGTGTAGAGATGTGATATTGTGATTGAGACAGTCTTAACCCTCTATTCAAAAATAGATGGTTGGATAAAGAAGATGATAGAACTTCTATGTTGTAAAAAAACATAGAAAAGCTTTCCCTTGTTTGAGATAGAAAGGTGGTTCTCAAGACTTGCAGGCATTCTTGAAATTTGTTAGTTTGGTGTTTTACCCTAAGATTATTGCAAATGGGTTGACAGTTGATACTCGTTCCGAGGGAGGGAGAGAGAGAGGACGGATTGAGAGAGAAAGAGAGAGGGGGGCTAGAGAGAGAACGAGAGAATTAAAGGCAGAGAGAGGGTCGGTAGAGAGAGATTAATAAAAACTGACATCTCAACTAATTCTAACCATGGAGAGAGGGTCCGTAGAGAGGGGGAAAATGGCATTTTAATCCCAAGTGTTTTTGACTTTTTGAACCAGGGGAGTTTGTCTCTCTAGAGCGATACTAAAAATATTGAACTAAACTGTCCACAAAATTCATTTTGGAGGATATCTATAATTTTTTCATGTCATTTCAAACATCCATACATGTATTGGTATAAATCTTGCGCAAAAGACTATGCGAAAGAATAAATTAAAGGGAAAATAGTTTCACTTTAAACATATTTTTTAACCTAAACAAAAGACATGCCCTTTTTAAACTCAATCTTTTCACTTCTCTCCTCATATATATACCCCAAACAAATATGAAAAAAACATGCATCTCTTACTCTATCCTCCGGTATTTCCCCCGACACCTCTCTCTCTCTCTCCTCCCAATAACCTCATCTCCATAAAGCTCTTCTCTTCTAAAAGTTTGGGATGATGGCTTTTAAAAAATATGTTTTTTTAAATTTGTTTAGTCTAAAAAAACAGATTTAAATTAACTCAAAGAGTTAGAAAAAATAAAATCTACAATTTTGATGGCCCAAAATATCTTTTAAAACTTTAGATCTATTGTGAAATGAAACCTAAAATTAAGAGGTATAGAGATATTTTCTCTAAATTAAAAGCAGTAGACAAAAACAATGACCAGCTAAATTCATTAAATTGGGTAGAAATCACAACATTTGACCTTAATCCCATCATCTGTGGGACTCCCCCCTTTATCTACAACAAAGCCCTTCTCTATAAATTCCAACTTTCGAACCTAGCAAGCACAGATATGAAGGGTATGGATAGCTCCTTGATAATCTGATCTGCAGTATATACAAGGGATCTTTGGTATAAACAAACCCAGCAACCAATTTTCTCAATGGAGAACCATGGGAAATTCAAAACTATAGTGCCCATAAATATAGTGCAATGTCATGTTGGGCACAGTTAAAAAAATACACATGATTTAGTTTAGTATTTTATTGGTAGAGATCCCAAGATCAAGCTCCAAGATTTGCCGATCACCTACTGACCCTAGTAACAATGTAACGCCCATTCTCTAGATCATATATAGTCTTTAGTTGGGGTTTTCTCCATCTCGATATATACCATGCTGCAACAACTATTAAGGCAGAAACAAGGATAAGGGCCAAGAAGGTGAGGTTCTCATCACCACTGGTCTGGTGGTTTGGATGCGCTAATTCTGTGTTTGATGAAGCATGAAGAATGAACGCTCCCAATGCCCAGTCGAGTGAAATGTTCTGAATTTGATTTACAAAATCAATCCTGAAGAAACCATCACAGAAGCATGAGCACATGAGAAACACGCATCTATTGAGAAAAAGTGACCAAATGGCCATCTAAAAACATTTAGCTACGACCAACAGACTTGATAGAGAATCTGCTTCACCATAGCATTAAAATAATTGAGTAAACGTGATCCTATCTGTTAAAAATGCAAGCTTCTTTCTTTTGGCTGAGCAAACTTCAAGAAGTCAATGAACATCTCAAGAGGAAAAACAAAAACCTTTTTTAAAAAAATAAATTCCTGTGTTAGATTTTTCTTCTTTTTTTTTTTTTTTTTGAAAAAAAGAATTTCCTCATGGTAGAACTTGAACTGACACAGTTAGTACATTATGAAATATCTAGCATAGTAACTTAAGGTGAAACAAGCACACATACCTTTTATCATACATGGAAATTCCAAGACTGTCATGCAGTAATGCTACAATATATGCTGAAGAGAAACAGTACTTCAGCAACTCATCCTCATTCAAACCCCGATTTCTTTTCTTTAAATTTGACCAACTTTCTTCTTCACAAAAGTGCTTTCCAGCTTTCACCAAATCCGAGAGAGAGGCTTTTGGATCCAAACCAAAAAACTACAAAACAACAAAATACATCAATAAGATGATATTCGTAATAACATCTGTACGTCATATGCATCCATATATAATTTGGCCAACCCAAAGCAAAGTTCATATAATCATTATCATCCTCATAGCCTTTTCCCAACTATTTCGGATCGGCTACATGAATCATGTTCCACCATTCTGCTCTATCAATGATCATACTCATAGTGAGGCCATAAATCCCCATATCTTTTCTTATTACTTTCAACCATGCCTTTTTGGGCCTACCCTTTGCCTTTCTTGAGCCTTCCACTTGAACAAACTCAGACCTCTTAACAGGTGTCGTACTGGGTCTGAGGCTGCACATGGCCAGCCCTCTCAAGTCTACTTTCTCTCATCTTATCGTCTATTAGTGTAAAACAAGGTTCATATATTAATTGCTAAGTATGTCTTGCTTGTGAATGCATGATTATCACTTGCTTTTTTTATTTTTATTGGTAAAATGCATGATGATTTCTTCATTCACGAAAAAAACATTACATGATGATTTCTACATACAGGAGAACAATGATCCGTACATGTCAGTTTTTCTTTTAAGTAGATATAAATCAGAAACTACCCAAATTCTATATAACCTTTGAAGTATAGAAGAAGTTTTCTGTTGCAAGAAACTTCCCTCGCAGCTCTGGAATGAAAGCCGAACCTATATTGCAGTGATGATACAAGCATTCCTCTGCAAATGAAAAGGAAATTGTTCATAACCATAAAGTGTTCATTTTCAGGCAAATATTCAGTGGCAAATTGTAACAGTAATATGAGAGATGCTTTATGTTGTAAGGATCAAATATTGGAAACCATAGTTAGCCTCCAAAAATTTTCATTTCAATTATTCATAGGGATGTCATAGTTCACAAGCAAAGCACCTTATGTGCTGCTTCAATTAATATGAAAATACAGATGGAAATTTGCTTTAAAAACTCACCATCTATAGATGTAAGAAGAAGAAGAAGACATCATTATTTGATTGCTTGAAACGGAAATGACGACAACCACAATGATTTTTAACGTCAAAAAGGCAACAAATGGTAAAATTAACCTTAAGATAGTGTCAGACGGGTGTCTTTTTCTTGTCAGACAAGTTCACTTTTAAGTAAATGTGATTGCTTGTAATGGAAGTGACCACAACCTCAATTATTTTTTTTTTTTTTGAAGATGTTAACTTAAATTGATGAAAGGAGAGTACATAAGAAAGGTCGGGCAGTCCACAAAGGATGAAAGGAGAGTATAACCTCAATGATTTTTAACATCAAAAAGGCAACAAATGGTAAAATTATCCTTAAGATAGTGTCAGACGGGTTCCTTTTTTTTGTCGGACAAATTCACTTTTAAGTAAAACACAAAATTGTAGGATGTTTATAATAAGTTTCCAATCCCTGAATGATAATCAGAATTGGAGGACAATAGGACATCACATCAACATCCACTTTATAAAAAAAACCCAGAATGTTTTATGAAATTGAGTAATATGTTACCTTTCCCTTTCTGTAACAGCATCAAGGCAGCAGATCTGCACTCTGTGAAATTACCCACTGCATGAACAGAGGGAAGACTCCCATTATTCGCATACGGCACAACAATTGACATCTTCAACATATCCAAATCATGATGATATCCAGTAGGAGTACAAGGATCTATCAGTTTTCTTTGTCGGACAGAACTTGAAGCTACACCATTGGGAAATTCATAGTCAGGCAAAAGGTAAAAACAATTGCATGAAGCTAAAACAATCAGGAAAGGGAGTAAAATACCAAAGATTTATTTTCTAATAATTGTATGTAAATTTACAAAATTGGGAGTAATGGCCCGGGTGTACAAAATTGCCCTAAATGGCAGTTCAACAAATAGTACCTTAAAGAGGCTGCAGAAAATGATCCTAAAAAATTGCTAACAAAATATTATCAACACTAGCTTATGAATCTCTTAGCTCTTCTAGACGTATCGTAAGTGTGATATGGTGACCTCTCTGGCTAGTCCATCTGCTGAATCCTTTACTTGTCTCCAATCATAATTGAGAGACACTCACTTCTCTCTAAGAATTGAGAGTGCAAAAGCTCGAACTGGTTTATATCACAATCAATTTAGTTCCTTAAAAAAGAATTTAGGATATATTCTGATTTCAGAATGTGTAATTTTTTTACTACAGGCAGCCAAGCACTATAGGCATGTATAATGAAAACTGGCCAAAGTTCAGTGCTGTGAATGTATTGCAGGAATCTTCTTAAGCACAAGAAATTTGTAAAAGAAAGCAGAATTGGACTGCATTCATGGTTTACAAGTGGAATAAAAATAAGAACAAGAAACAACACTATCCCATTTCTTTTTGATGAATCAACAAAAATTATCATGAGTTCAAAGGTGAATATGGCCACATAAAAGGCATTTGCATCCCCTATACATAATGTCAGCAGAAGATTGAAGACGAAATCAGAATTAAATCGGTCTGGCATCCTTTTTTCTTTTTGTCTTTTTTTTCTTTTGAGGAAATTGGTCTGGTGTCCTTCAGCTGTGAAAGAAAACAAGTCAGCACTCAGGGTGGAGGATCAAACATTCCAGTGACAGATTCGTTGGGACAGCAAGAGGAAAATATCGAAGTCTGTCCCATTGGATCGGGCAGTAATAATCTAGTAAGAAGTCACTTAACCTGAAATAATGTCATAAATACAATAACTTAATGGATATTTTCAAATGGTTTAAAGCCCAGAAAAAAGAAATACACATTAGAAAATGCTCAAAAAATTAATGCTCCGGCAGATTGCAGGACCAAAATTTTTAAATAGCTAACAATTTTTTACACGTCACTAACATAATGATAAACCCCAATCACTTTGATGAAGGCATTGCTTCTCAAACATAAACGATAAATTTTAGAGCTATAAGTGCAAGAAATTTTGGTAAGAAGACATCTGAGTCCATAAATAATCCATTAACCAGGACATAAATAATCCATTAACCAGGAGGTCAGAGCACTCACAATAATTGACAATAAATGCATTAGAACAGAAGTAAACATCCATCATGATTGATTGGAATTACACATCATTTGACCAAAATTGAAGTTTCCAGCATGCTATTCACCCAAAAAAAACGTTTTCAGCATGTTAAACAATAAACTAATAAACAAACCCTGAAGCAACACTGTTAAGTATGAGCTCCACTGTTAGATTAATAGGTGCAGAACATGGAGAACCGACTAACCTGATTTCAGGCCTCTAGAAATCAACAGTGTCTGTAGTGAGTCATATGCCACGTTCTGCAAGGCAAATAGAATATTCATTCAATATTGCATATAAATAATCCCCAGTAAACACGTTGTAGGAGCCATTTTGAGAACATGGCAAACAAATAACTATAATTGAAGTACAATTTTATGCTGCAAAGAATGAAAATAGCAACAAGCAAACCTTGCATGAAATATGGCAGTTCCAACTTTGCAAAATAGTTGTCACAACAGATTATTCCCTTCCGAATATTCATAAATGTTGTGAAGGAAAATTTGGATCATATCAATTTGAAGCCAAAATATATAAAAGAACTAAAAAAAACTTTGCCCAACCCCGATGTTCAACCAAAATAAGGCCACTGATATCACCTCAGAGAAGAAACCAACCCAACTAACGATATCATAAATATGATGATGCAATGTTTAAAATATATATATGTATATTATTATTAGTTTTTTTTTTAGATCATCTTTTAATTCAATAATAGGAGGTGCGCAGGGATAAGGTGAGTTTATTTTGTCGTGAGTTGATATTGATTATTTGGGTTAGTTAGTTTAGGAGTATAAATAGGATAAGGTTAGATCTAACGGGGTTTATCTTTTCAATAGATAGCTTTGAGTAAAAACATGGGGGTTTATCTTTTCAACAATGGGTAAAACATGGGTGGCACGTGAATTTAAGAGAGAGAAGATAGGGATGAGAGAAAATAGGTTAAGGGAGATAAAATAGGAAAGTCAGTTGTTTATCTTCTTTTCTTTTTTTTAGCCTATTTAAAAGGACTTTTCCTTCATTGTAAGGGGGTGAATGAGTTAATAAAATTTGGTCTCGTGAAGAAATTATTTTGGGGTGGATTCCCTTGAAGACCTTGAGAGAGGGTATATTCTCTCAACTTTTTTTTCTTTTTTATTTTTCCCGTGTTATTCTCTCTCTACATCAATTGGTATCAGAGCTTAAAGAGTATAAACAGGATAAGGTTAGATCTAGGGGGGTTTATCTTTTCAACAGATAGCTTTGGATAAAAACATGGGGGTTTATCTTTTCAACAATGGGTAAAACATGGGTGGCACGTGAATTTAAGAGAGAGAAGATAAGGATGAGAGAAAATAGGTCAAAGGAGATAAAATAGGAAAGTCAGTTGTACCATTAATTGATCAATTGCCACCAAAAGCGAATCAAGATAATCCTGCTCCGGCTATGGATGATCGTTAGGGAGAAATTTTCACTAAAGTCAGAGGCTAGAGGATTTTCGAATTGAAGTATGTGAGATAAATCAAGAGATGAATCAGAGGATGCAACGCCTAGAGGATTTTCAAACTGAACTACGTTAGATGAATCAGAGGACGCAACGGTTGGATCAAAGGTTGCAGCGGTTGGAGAATAACCTTCATCGTAAAAAAGGTACTAGAATACCCTCTCTCAAGGTCTGTAAGGGAATCCACCCCAAAATAATTTCTTCACGAGGCCAAATTTTATTAACTCATTCACTCTCTTACAAAGAAGGGAAAGTCCCTTTAAATAAACTAAAAAAAGAAAAAAAAGATAAACAACTGACTTTCCTATTTTATCTCCCTTAACCTATTTTCTCTCATCCTTATCTTCTCTTTCTTAAATTCACATGCCACCCACGTTTTACCCATTGTTGAAAAGATAAACCCCCACGCTGTTTACACAAAGCTATTTGTTGAAAAGATAAACCCCCCTAGATCTAACTTTATCCTATTTATACTCCTAAACTAACCAACTCAATTGATCAATATCAACTCACAACAAAATAAACTCACCTAATTATCCCTGCGCACCTCCTATTCTTGAGTTAAAAGATAAACTAAAAAAAAACCTAATAATAATATTTATTTTTTTTCAATGCATCATTTTCCCGAGGATGGAAGAAGCTCGACCTCGAGCTTGATTCAAAGCGGATCTTCTTCTTCATCACCATGGAGGTCTATTTGTTGAATGTGATCTTCTGGAACTTCTTCCTTCTCTTTAATCAAGTGTACCTCCATCTTCTTTTTTGGGTATTCAAACAAACGATATCCTGGGTCGTTGCATCGATAACATATAAACTTTGCAGTATCTTTTTTTTCTTCATTAAATTTCGATTGGCGTAAAACCTCCTTCTAAGGGTAAAAGCGTTTATCGGTGCTTCCTTGGTATTTCGTTTCTACTCGTAAAGCAAGTTGAAAAGCTTCACTTAAAGTCCTTTCGTCTCTTAGAGGTTATTTCGAGCAACTAATCGATAAAACTCCCCGGTCTAATCTTCTACGTTTTTTTCATTCTGTCGAAGATTTTGGAGTTCTTGAAAGAAAATTTGCTCATGATTCGCAGGAAGAAAATTTTCTTTCAATTTCTTTTCCATCTTTTGCCAGTCAGTAATTTTTCCTTTCCACTACGAAGTCGGGATTGTTGAACTTGCTCCCACCAGGCAGCAGCATACCCACGGAGCATGGTAGCAACAAGTTTAACCTTATGTTCCTCTGGCAATTCACTCCATTCAAAATAATTTTCAGTTACACTTAACCAATCAATAAGACCTTCGATGTGGAGCTTATCATGAAATTCTGGTAGATTGACTTTAATACCAAAATCTCGTGGTCGCTCTATAGGACGCGGATTACCAAAATCTCATACTCGCTCTATAGGACGCGGATCTGACATGTAATCTTCGTTACGTTCGAAATCAACACCTTGATTTTGTTGTAGGATTCCTGATGCAAGATTAATGTGGTTGCTAGTACCTTCTTCACAAGGAAGGTTATTCTACAACCGCTGCAACCTTTGATCCAACCGTTGCATCCTCTAATTCATCTCCCGATTCATCTCAAGTACTTCTGTTCAAAAATCCTCTAGACGTTGCATCCTTTGATTCATCTCTTGATTCATCTCACATACTTCAATTTGAAAATCTTCTAGGGCTTTAATCAAAATTTCTTCCCAACGATCATCCACAGCCGGAGCAGGATTAGCTTGATTCGCTTTTGGTGACATTGTAAACTCTGGACCTAACTTGCTCTAATACCAATTGATGCAGGGCAAAAAAAAAACCAGAAAAATAAAAATAAAAAGCTGAGAGAATATACCCTCTCAAGGTCAGCAAGGGAATCCACCCCAAAATAATCTCTTCACGAAACCAAATTTTATTAACTCATTCACCCCCTTACAATGAAGGGAAAGTCCCTTTAAATAGACTAAAAAAAAGAAATGAAGATAAACAACTGACTTTCTTCTTTTATCTCCCTTAACCTATTTTCTCTCATCCCTATCTTCTCTCTCTTAAATTCACGTGCCACACACGTTTTATCCATTGTTGAAAAGATAAACCCCCATGTTTTTACCCAAAGTTATTTGTTGAAAAGATAAACCCCCCTAGATCTAACCTTATCCTATTTATACTATTAAGCTAACCAACCCAATTGATCAATATCAACTCACGACAAAATAAACTCACCTAATTATCCCTGTGCACCTCCTATTCTTGAGTTAAAAGACAAACTAAAAAAAAAACTAATTAATTTTTTTTTTTTTTTTTCACTATGATCTCAAAAACATCAAAGGTATACAGATGAATTTCTATTGAAGATGGCATGTTCTTTAGTAATCATCACTTTTTTGGAACACATCCTTCATGGAAGAAGGACTAAGGACCATGTATAAAAGGAATATATCATGTCCAATACTAACACATTAAATATAGATTCAACAGAACAATAAAAACAAGGAATATCATGCACACAACAGACGTTACCCAATTATAATAATGTAGTACACCAATACCTCTCTCTCT